CACTCGGATCCCCTAGGTAGTCTTCCGACGTTCCTTCCGTTTCCGGGAGAAACGACCATGGCGCAACAAACAACCCACGGGTTATTTGTCTTCGTTCAGTATACCGAGGAAAGCGGGTTAGAAGAAGGGTAGTGGGGTAAAGAGGGATGAAACATGGAAGGGATGAGAGGGTTATGAAGAGAATTCGCGAACGCAGCCGCAGCTGCGTCACACTTTCGAAAAAGCTTCTGCCGGGGATTTCGTTTAGTCTCGCGAAGAGACGTGGAATTTCACCCCCGTCCCGAGAGAATTTTTCATTTAGCCCGCATTATTTATACGCACACGCTTTAGCTACCTCCCAGAATTCCCCACGAATGTTTCATACGGAAATTAACGTGCTGCGTCTGCATCTTTCTGAAAATGAAACTGCTTGTCCTAAGGATTTTGCTGAATGTTGCATTATGAAACCCTTCTAAGCCCAAAAATAACTGCTATTTATTACCTGCTATAAAATATATTCTTGACCTAGAAACTTTTAAAATTTTTGTTTGTGATTTAAAAATATACAGATTGGGGCTTTTAATTTAACAACATATGATGCGAATCATTTTACAAATGATTATTCCATAAAGTAATAAAAAAAAAAATTTATTGATAAAATTTATTTATTAATATCCCCGATCGTATTCCAAAAAATTCTTCAACGTTTTGCAATTGTTTAATTAAATAAATTTGCACATGCTAATAAAAATATACATATATATATGTATGTATATTTATTTGTTTGTTTATCTCTTTGATATTTGCAATTATTATATAAATAAATTAAAAAATATTTCTTTTTACATCTCCCATTTTTAATTATGCCTCTTATCACAATTATTATTATTTACCTGATTATTTATTATTTATCGACAGGTAAAATTTTAAATAAATTAAATTACTGTACTATTACTACTGTATTACTGCTTCCGAGAAGCGTTGAAAGTATAATAACCGGAATTTCAACAAAATCGTCATAATGCTGCTGCGAGCACACAAAGATGCATTTGTATATACGTTTTCGCCGGGAGCGCTGTGGCGATCTTTCGATCGATCGAATTGGAAGTGGAACTTGTACTCGATGGCGGCCTCTTGGGTCCTTTTCGCCAGCATCAGTCCGCGAAACGCCGCTTTCTGGCTAGTCAATTTTGCGGCATTATGCGAGAAATATGTGCGGAAATGGAGTTCTTCCGTTGCGTGGCTCTGCGAGATACACAGTCCCTTTTCTTCCCGTCAATCGCAAGAAAGCGTCACGTTGTGAATAGCTTTCCGATGCTCGCACACGTTACCGTGTTTTCCTGCGCCTGTCAGCCTGTCGCAGCACATCCTCTTTTAGATGCTTCGCGATGCACCTGCGCTATTCTGACGACCATGGCTGCTGCTGCTGCTGCTGGACCATTCACGAATAGAGCGTCGTCGAAATGAAATTACGATTAGAATAAGAATCATGTTAAGTGATTTGTGACTTGTTAAATAAGAAGATAATGAAAGATATATAATCAGGAGATCAAAAATACCTTATAGGTTTTATATTTTATATTTTTTACTTAGTTAATTAACTTGATGGGCAATAATTACTTTAATAAATTATAAAGTTTCAGCCTTTCCTTTTTTGCATACGTGTCTGATACTTTGAAAATGAAGATCCTCACGATCTAATTAATTTAATCCACAAAAAAATGAGAAAGCGAGAGGCGGGAATCGTCGTAAGAAATTAATCCAAACAAAAAAGAATCTTTTTACATCCAATAATCTGCTTTAAGAATAAAAGACCGTGCTTGACCGTGCTTGACAAATTCTTAAACTGTTTTATCTTTAATTCCCTGTATTCTTACGTTTTATTCAAACGAGAAGATACAGAATTGTTGAGTCATTTTGAAACAAAGTTACCAAGTTATCAAATTAACACAGTCTGTGCCATTTTCGCGAGTGATAAGATTAAATCCAAAAGATTCAAGTATCCAAGAATATTGTATTCACATCTTATTGTATTCAGATTGGAATCGTTTCGTTCTTGCAGGAATAACTACCAGACGTGTCATTAACCGCGATGCTATATGGTGTACCCGTTGCTTTGAATACAGTTACTTGGGATGCTAAACAAGTCCGCAGGACTGTGCACGGGTCCAGGACTTCGACTTATGCCGGTAGTCGCGTTTATGTTTGCCACAGAAGTTGGCAACTGGTATCCGCCAACCAGAGACTATTTGAGTTTGCCAAGTAGTAATAATTGTTCACCAGCACTGTCTAGGCGATAACGGCATTCCATTATCGCTAAAATAATCGGCTATTTCCTATGGGAAGGGTTAGCCTTTTCGAGGTTCCTTGATATAATCAAATCTCTGCTTTAAGTTTATACATTTTCCTTTTTCTTTTTATTAATATTATTTATGCCCAAAAACTTACGTTGCAACAAATTTGCATCATAAAATGATCATTATAAAAGTTAACGGCATTAGATACAAGTCTCAGAATAGTTGCTATAGTCACTCAGTATAGGCATCTGCTATCATCATTGTGCTTTAAATTCGAAAATAATTATTGCAAAAATTAAATATCTCTCCAAAAATTCATTTTAACCATATATAAATTTACTTATATTTGTAAATAAATTAAATTAAATATAGGTGATGAGCTTGATGAAAATTATTATTTTGAAATACAGCTTTCATAAAAGTTTAAATGAACATGTAATTAAATATTTGCACATAATTATTAAATTATAAAATTTTGTTTTTATTTATCTCTAATTTTATTATCTCTATTTATTTTTATTTAAAAATTTAATCATATCAATTTTAATTTCAATTAAATTGAAAAATTTGAGAAAGATTTTCCAGATTTTTTTCCCTGTTTTCTTTTCCTCCTTTTCTCGTCTAATTAAATGTCGGGTTTAGCTCATTTAATCCCAGTACATTACAATATTACATGGAAAAAAGGCAACAGAGATAAGAGAGAAAGAGGAAAGCAAAGGCGTAAGGATGAATTATAAAAAAGAAAGAGAAGGAAAAAGATGAAAGGAAAAATAGAAGAGGTACTGAAAAAAAGAAAAACTTTGAGAGAATAAATAATAAGAATTGATAATGTAAAGTTACTTTAAGGTACAATGAACTAATTAAAGTAAATTAAAATTCAATTTACGAACAGTTTGAATAATTTGCAAATGAGTTGAATAAAGTAGAACGCAACTGAAATAGAAAGAAACGAGAAAGTTTGTTTTTTATAAAACAAAAATAGATAAATAAATTTTTTAAGATCAATGTTACTTCCAATTGTCATTTCATAAACTTTATAAATTTTTTATAGTATATATTTTTTATAAAATATATTTACATTTATTAACATAATATTTATATATAATTCACTTTTTCTAATTATCTTATTTATTTATGTACACTTTATATTTTACATACTGTTAATTCAATTATATATTTTCTTTATATTAATTTATTTATTTCTATGCGCAAAAGTATAAAATAATTCCAAAATAAATATTTAATGAAATATGTTACATTTTGTAAAGAAATATTAAATAATTAATCAAATATATTATAAATTATAGATTTTTTATAACTTTGTCTTAAATATGTACACAAATGCATTTTGATTTTGAATCATAAACTAACTCATTGATTCTATTGGAAAATTAATTACTTAATTATTAATAAATAGTGATAATGTGTCATTCAATTCTACACGTATCCTCAGCTGATTTGACAATTTATTAATGACCTGATTTAGTAATCTAGTTGATTGCCATATGATTATCATAATCTGATGTTAATAATGTGACCGAGTGTGTGTAAATTTCTCTTGCTCTTTGTAAATAATAATGTAGGTTACCGTTTCATAAATATTAAAATACTACTATTTATTTAATCATAATATTTTTTTTAATAATTAAATTATCGTTAGAAATTATAATTTTACTATATATAAAATAAAGGAAACATTTTTGTATAATTATAAATAAGGAAATAAATAATGTTATCTTACAAATTTAAATATTTGAAAAGCTTATAAAATTGTTTATAAAGTAGCTTATATTTACAAAATTTAATAATGTACATTTTTTTGTGTTTCAGGACACTTCAAGATTCGGCATTCGAAACTCAACGGATCTTGATATACAAAATTGATATACAAAATTTAATTAATTATTAAAAAAAAAGAAAAATAATCTGAATTTGTACAAAGTAATAAATAAAAGCAAGAGAATGCAATGTAAAAATTTTTAAATTATGATATACGGATTGCGCATTTGAGGAACATAACAAGAATCATACAATAGAAATTAATTTTCTTGACAATTAATTTCAGAAAGTAAGCTATAATTGGTTATTTTTAACAAATGAATATATATTATTAAATAAAATGCTAAAGAGTATTCTGGATTAAACTTGTACCAATATTGTTCGATAATCTGCGAAATCTCACGAAGACACACAAGGGCTAATCAAAGTCATGATTTGCATGAATGGTAAGATTTATAATTATTGCAAATTATACTGTGAACGTTATATATAAAAAACTAGAAAAATTAATATATTTATTAGTCATTATTACTATTACTCTAAGATTCATTGACAAATTTGACGCAAAATTGAAGGTTTAATCTTATTTTAACATACTATAATTCTATAAATAAGTAAATTTTAAAATATATGGAAAATCAGAACAGGAGCTATTAAAACTTTATAAATATGTGCCTTTTGATGAAAATTTTCACATTGTCTTTGATTCGTAAATCGACGAAATGAATTCGCGGCAAGAAGGCACCGTTGATAAGGAAGAGAAATTATCGGGGCGAGTGACGGGGCCGAAACAGCTTATCTCCTTTTTCTCCGCCACGTGGATCACGAGGAAAACGTGGCATCGTTACACAACGTTGAATTTCCTTCTCCTCTCCAGGCCGATAAGTACTGATTTCCATAATGGCTCCACGTACGAGTGCACTCACTTATCCCCTACCCTTTCCAGCACTTCTCTCAACCCCGAACCCTGTCCCTGTACCCTTCTCTTTGCAATCGTCTATACGTACGTACGTACGTATATATATATATATATATATATATATATATATATATATATGTCCCTTCTCTATCCGCTCATAGAAACTTCGGGTCTCCGTAATCTTATCGCGTAATGTGAATTCAAGACTCGATAATCGCACTGAGACGTGATTAATTTTTTGATTTACGCCGTTTATGTATGCCAAAACGCTGCGATGGCATTTTTATGGCAGAATTTTAAAAACGGAAATTTCAAGTTTTCAATGTTCATATTTTTTTAACACTTGATATTGATGAATTTCCTACTTTCATTATATTTTTAAAATTAATTCTGAAATAAACTCTTTCCTGTTTTTGTATAATATTTTGTTGATACTAGATAAATAAAGTATACAATTATTTCGCAAATAACATTACATTTCTCGATTATTTTACTTTAATACTCAAGATGAATAAAGAAGAAATTATTATGCATATAAATTTTTATTCTTTTACCATATTTCTCTATGTTAATATTCTTTATTCTTATATTATTATTTATTATTTATTATTTATTATTAAATACTGTTTAAATATATATAATAATTATAATATTATAATATTAATATAATAATACATAATGATAAATATTAAATATATTACGAGAAAGTTTACCTAAAATAGTAGAGATTATTAACAAAGATTTATTAATTTATTTCAAGTTTCACTACTTCATTCTGCTAAAATGTAGAAAACGTAGGATGTCTATAGAAAGTGTTTCCTCGTGCTTATCGAGTCTGGAACTTTCCCCTTCTCAAGCTTATATATCCATCGCTTTCAACTCTTGTCGCTGTTCCCTTCGGCCATTTTACTTTATCTTTCATCAAAGAGCACGAATGAAACTTTCTGTCACAAGATTAGAATTCGCTAATAATCGAAGAACCAAAAGAGTCGTTACTATCGCGCATTCTTGAGAGAAATTATCTCGAGAATATCGATTACTCATCATTGAAATGTATACTCGATTATTTTTTTCTTTTTCTTTTTTCTTGAATATCATTGTCATTTTCCGATAGAATCGATATAACTGTGGTGCGTATTAATTAAATATTGATATAGTTAATTGAACGGTACGTTAAATAAATACGCCACCAAACCAGCAACGAGAACCATCGCGCCCTGAAAATTAAAACTAACAAAAACACGAAATTAATTGATGCGACCAAGCGAGCAATCGCATGCGAAATAATTCGCGTGCAATAAAGTGCAACGTCATTTGTTTTAATTCTGCTTCTTGCAAACAGTTCCAAGTTAGTATTAATTAACAATTATTATTAATATAACGATATTATGAGAACATAGTTTTGTTTTCTTACATCTTCGTAATTCATAATTCGCTATCGTTTGTTTAATACAAACATTAACTTCAATTTTGTGTCAGACTTTAATATAATAGACGTTTCTGTCATATTAAGATATTGATATTAAACATTAAAGAGTTTTGTAAATAAAAGTAAATTATTAAACTAATTATTTTTATTTATAAAGTAACTTTTATTAATCATAAAATTTAAACTATTATAAACTTACAATCCTGCGGATAAGATTAAAGTAAAATTATATATATATATATATATATATATATATATATATATATATATATATTTTTGTATACATAGCAATATATTTAATTAATAATATCAGTTTATGCCACACTTTGAAATTAGTTTTAGAAATAAAAATGAGAAAAGTATTAGAACTTTTGATGCGCGTAATTTATAATCAATAATCTATGGAGCCGCGATGTATGTAATATTTTCTAGAGAAGCCCATCGGGATGGAGGAGACTCGACGACGTTGCAATTAATCGTGCAGGCGTAAATGAGAGACGATCGTTGCGGAACGCGGAGGTGATCCATAGATCGTGTCGGGCGCGATCAGTCGCGGTAGAGCGGAGGAGAGAGGAGACGAGAGGAGGGTGGCAAGATGGAACTTTTCCTGATCCTCGTTTGCCTGATCGCGCCGCCCGCCCTCTCGCTCTCCATCAAGAGCAAGCTCAACCCACGGATCGTCCAGACGCGTTACGGCGAGGTGCAGGGTATCACGAGGTCCTTTGAATATGCCAAGTTCCTCAAGCCAATCGACGTGTACCTCGGAATACCTTACGCCACACCGCCGGTCGGCAGCAATCGCTTTTCCCCAACGAGAGCGCCAAGTCCCTGGGACGGAGTCAGGTAAAACGTTCTTTCTTCTTTAATCTTCTTTAAAGATAGGAATTAATGTTTTTCCGACGAATTTAATTTTTTGCGATATGACGATGAAAACGTCACGCAGCTTTACAGACCACGATTATATTGTTACAAATAAAATAAAACGCGGACTTGAATAAAATTGACCGTTAACATCTTTTTTTTAGCAATTTCAAAGTATAATTTTATTTGGGCAGATATTTATTTTCTTATAAAGCCAACTTCAGGAACTTTTCAAAGGCTTTTAAAAACGGTTTTGTTTTAAAATTATTTTCTCTTTAAGAAAATCATAAAGAGATTTTCTATTATTAATGTTCAATTAACAAACTTTTTGATTGAAAATAAAACACAGTAAGAAATTGATTAATGTAAATATATAAATATATTACATTTTTGTCTTTTACATTTATATATCATTTTGAATAAATAAATTGCTGTGAATATCCAAACCTTGAATTTTTTTTTCATCTTGAACAGATTTACAATGAGCTATGCAAGAAGTTATGTCAAGGCTAATCAATTTTTATTTTTGTATTCGGAGTTGATCGCATTTATGATCTCTCCTTCCAATTAAAAGCAGATACTTTCCAATTTTATAACAAGCTCGATCTTCTCGAAATACTTCGGATGCCGCGCAGTTTTCCTAACTCGAAGTGTCTGGGAATATCGCAGGGAATATACAACATTCTGAAATTATGCCAAGATATTCCTTGGAAAATCTTTCGAATGCCGCGATGTTATATTGCTACCAAGAATATAACTCTTACAATTACATAACTTTCTAAAAGGCTTACAATTTTTAATAGACAGACAATGACAAGTAATAATAAATTAATCTATTATTACTAGACAAGATTATCGATAAAATAAAATTATAAATAATAAAATTCATTGAGTAAATTCATTAATAATACAAAATAAAAATACCAATTTACGTATAGTGCTATACATTGTATGGTTTAGATGCCTCATAGTTCAATATACATATATGTATATGACCCCAAATTCATTTCCATCCGACGATGTTCGTCCTTATTGAACATGGCGACGCGTATTCCATACCATACGAAACTTTGACCGTTCGGTTCGTTGTAACGCACGAACGATTTCCGATTTCCTCTGCAGATTATCGGACTCGGTGAGTCCAGTCTGCCCCCAAAAGCTGCCGGACATCGCAAACGAGCAGGAAGCGCTCGAGCGAATGCCTAAGGGAAGGCTGGAGTATCTGAAGAGATTGCTGCCTCATCTGCGTAACCAGAGCGAGGATTGCCTCTATCTGAACATCTACGCACCTGCCATGGGTGAGTGAACGTACAACAAACTCTTCAGCGATTGAACCGTATGAGCAACTTTGTAACCATCACGCGCGATTACACACACCGTTTATATATCTGCCATATAAATAAAAATCTCAAGTATCTCGATCTCAGCAATACATTTACATTACAGTTTAGACAGCTTGAATGATACGAAAGCATACCCATGATTTTTCAAAAGAAGGAATCTATGGCGAAATTTTCTTCTTTACTTCCAAATGTATCTAGTTGACGGGGATTAATTGTTTGTAAAATTTAAAATTTAATTAACTTTTTCTTTTTAACTTAAATATATAACATCTTCCCAAAAACTGATTAGATATGTATTGAGTTTAAAATGTATATTACACATCTTGTATATATATTATACATCTTTTTCTTCGTACACGGAGACGTTATCGAACTATGCTCGAAAGGAAGTACAGTCAAACCGATCGATCAAGTATGGAAACTTCTTTATACGTCAGGCATATGTTCTCTGAGCTTCGAAGTCACAACGAGAGACGATGCTCTCGACACTATCTTGAGAGAGAAGAACTTTGTAACGCATCCTGCAGAATTGCATTTATTCTTGTAACGTATAAGGTCGTAGGTTTTTTAACTTTTATAAATATTTGAATAATGGAAATATCTTAGAAATTTTTAATTCGCACTTAAGTAACATTTGTGAAATTGCAGGACGTAAGTTTGCTTGAATCCTAAAATATTTAGTATATAAAAAATTTATTTTTTGTTAATATTAAAAATTTAATAATTATTCATTTTTAATAAATGTTATAATATTCTTAAGAATAGATTCTTTAGCGATTACATTATCTCTGCGCTTGGATATACGTAATGAGTCCAATCCGTCAACTCTCTTTCGAAAAAACGGAATTTTAGATGAGCATTAGTAGATGAAGTAATCCTTACTGGTCGTCGAGCCAGCAGCATTGAACGAATGGCGCGGAAATCTATGAGAGGTTGGGGGGGGGGTAAACGGAAGGGCGGGAAATGCAGGAAAAGCTCGAGGCAGGAAAAGCCGCTCGGCAAGGCAGGACGTTTTGTTCGTTACACAGTGTCCCGATTAAAAAACGATTTTTAAGATGATTCACTGGCGGCCCAAATTGAATCGCTAATCTAAGTTTGAGGGAACTTTTCGCAGAGTTGGGGAAGGCCTTGTGAATTATGGCGGCCCGGAATGGATGTCATTGACCTCCGCGCGATCCCTATATAGCGGCGGCTTGCGCGGATGGTCTGAAACTGAACTTCCCCGGGATTGTGCAAGTTATTGAGCTTCAGCTGGACCAACGTCTCGCTGAGAAGACACGCGGAACATTTCAAATAGATCGGAGATTAAAGGCTACATGACACGTAATTACTAGTCAGAATGATTGACATAATTGGAAAATCTTTTTTATAAAAGAAGACGAGCGTTACGTTTCGAAATTTTGATACTCTTTAACTTTACAACTTTTTAATCTAACATTTTTCATATGGATCTCATTACTTTTTCCCATCATAACCTTTTTATATTATATTACACACACACACACACACACACACACACACACACACACACACACACACAGTACGTTCATATGTATGTGTAAAGCTATCTGTATATATCTATGTATCCCTGAAGCAAATAATATTTTCTTAGGGTAAAGACGATGTGAGGGTTGGTCACATTTGCCGTTCAATTTCCGGCTCTGAGATGTAGAGACGTGAGGAACAGCTTGCAAGCGCGAGGAAAAGCAAAATTTTCTATTTCGCCTGAGAAAATTCAATGATATACGATTATTGAAACACCATTCACTCCGGCCGACATACGTGGAGACATAAAAAGGTTTCCCTCAAGCCAAGAAAAAGGCCGAAAGAGAAAGTTTGGCGAGAGATATAAGGACGGGAAAGAGCTTAGGTGACGGCAATAAAAAGGGTTGAAGATGAAGAGGCACAACAGCAAAGAAATATATTGCACATACCTGCCACAGTGTTCGACGTTGCCTCCGTGGCTGGAAACTGAAGAGAATGACACGAACGGAAAGATTTATCAAATATTTCTCATTTTTCTGACGCGCGCGCCACTGACACGTGGCTCAAAATTGCCTGTTGAAATCTCTGCGCCATTACGAACTGCGTGAAAGTTTTGCGAGATTAGATTATGATATTGAACTCTAACAGATATCTGTAAATCCTTCATAGTCGAAATTGAAGAAGTTGTTAGAATTTTTTAATATTTAGTTCGAAAGTAGAAAGTTTAAATACCTTTACTTGCTTATAATATCGAAATGTAAGAATGTTTCATTAAACTTTGCTATGATTTGTGATTTTATTATCTTTATCGTTGTCTTTCAAATTTTTTATTCAAATTTACTAGTAAAGTCAAATTTACTTTCTTTTAAAATGTATAATTGTAACAAAGTTAATATAGAAATTGTAACTTATTTTAATGCTTTATTTATAATGATAATTATATTGATTATATTATTATAATTACAATTACATAATAATAATTATATTATACGTATATACGATTAAGTTAATATCTAACAGATCAGCTTTCCACTCGATAATAACTTGCAAACTAATAATTCGAAATTTTAAACTGCATTCTCACAATTGAGTTTCGGAAAGTGCGATTTCCGGGCAACCCTGAAGGGGATACGTTTCCTTCGACGGCAGTATTGTCTCTCGGATTCTTACGTAATGGAAATTTCTATCGAAAGTTTGGATCCGGTTAATGCACGTCGTCGGCACTTCTTCTCCTCTCCTCTCACTGACTTGGGGGGGAAAGTTTCCGTTTTCCTTGGAAGACTCGCAATTACACGGCCGCCTGCACTCACAATTCCAGCGACGATAGGTAAAGCGCAGTATCGAACGTATGGCGGAAGCGGAAGAAGAAGAAGAAGAAGAAGAAGAAGAAGGGCGACGAGTTTTCGAGGCGCGAACTAATAATCGAATCCACCAAGTTCGCGGAATTTGTTTCAACTCTCAGAATACTTTGGAATAAGGATCCCCATCTCTTCGTGATTCACGAGTCCCCAAGCAAAAGAATGCCTCCTCCATCCTTTTAGGCAAAAATACGGCTCGAAATGATTTGTTCGTCTCGCGCGGAAGATAAAGTGTCTCACTTTTCATGCTCATTAAGATTCTTAACTTTAATTATAGTTATGAAGAGTATCGATGTAATCAACAAGCAATTTGATTGTGCAATCTGCCGCTAAAAAGTTACTGATTCAACGAAAAAAAAAAAAAAAAAAAAAAGAAAAGAAATTTTTATCAGTAGGAATAAATTTGCATAATTTGACCAGATGAAAAATTAAAGGGTTGATTCGTAACGCGTTCTGAAAATAATTTTTAAATATTTCATGGCACATTTGCGGAAATAACTTTAGGACATTATACCTGCGTTAGCTTGCGACGGAGCGACAGGAAATTTAATGTGGCAAGCCGAGGGAAATCGCACGATCCTTGCACATCCTTCCTCTTTTCGGTGAAAGAGAACGTCACGAGTGCAGAGTGCGCATTCGCTCAACTTCCGGCTCGAAAAGGCATTACTAATAGCTCTCGTCGCTGTGATTAATGGCACTGGAGTGCTGCTCCGTTTAGTCGTTTTATTAATTACGTCGGATAACGAAGGTCACCGTCTCTGCACGAGACTATCATTTATTATGCACGACGTCACGATTGGGCAACCAAGCATGCTTATATCGACAGGTGTATACATATGCAAATAATAAGAATTCTAATAATAAGATTGTGAAGATTTAAGAATTACGAAAAAAAAATATATATAAATAAAAAGACATATAATTTAAAAATCTCTTAATTATAATTAAGAATTAAGAAAAAAAAATGATAATAATCTTAAGAAATTGAGAAGCTGCAAATTGATATCATTAATTATACCTAATTTCTGGAAATAGCTAGAAATTATAAAGAACGTTATTTTCGTTTTACGTTAAAAGAAGAAGACGAAATCTTTTGCCAATATGAGACGTTGTGTTTAATTTTACATTGGAGAGATTAAAATATCCGAGCGGCTCGAAAGGTTTCCTTTACCATCTGCTCATCTCGAAAGGGCAGTATAATAAGAAAGAATATCTAGGACCATTCCGCTGAAACTCTGTGCTGTTTCGCGATACAATTTTAAAGTCGACGTTCTCGTCTCGCTTCGCTGCATAATTCAGGAAGTTCCGCGAACAGGAGACGGCAAGATAAAGCAGGATCGATTCGCTGCTGATTTAATTATCTTTTAATGAAAGCCGAGATTCCCCGGCCGCTGTAATTTTACATCGTCCATGAACTACGCAAATGCGGAATATAAATGGTAATTAAGGCTTGCCAGATGGACCGTATTGCTGCGTTTTTCCGGCCGATATAACCAAAATACACCGCAGCTAAGAGAGATCTGATAGATTTGTTAACTTCATTAGATTTATTGCCTTTTTTTTACTTTCACATTGATTGTCGTACCGCCTTATTATTTGTTAATATTGTTAATAATGATTAGAGTTAATGTTAATTCCTTTTTTAAGCCTTGCAAAGACAAAAGCAAACTCTCTCTCTTATATAATTTCAATTTAATTAATAATAATTTACGTAAATCAAATTACGTAAACTTTGTGATAAAATATATTTTAATAAAAGCCGAAAACGACAGTAAAATCAGCAAAAAATAGATGTGACAAAATGAAAAGATGAAAAGATCAATCTTATTTACTAAAATCTTTATTTTTAATAATGTTCTTAATAAAATTAACTTTAAAAAATAACTATTAATAAAAGGCTAAGTGTGTTTAGTACAATTTGAAAATATTTTCTCGGTTAGAGAGGATAATTTACATTACAAGATTTAATAAAAATTAATAACCTTTGAAATTGCTGAGTCTCGAAAACGAGATTCGAAAGATTTGTGGCTTCTCTCTCGACAATTTAGACAGAAAGACATAGTATTTAAAGATGAGGAACGAAACGAGCAATGCATCCACGAGTGACATACC